CACAGCTGCAACAGTGTGAGCTCTGACTGCAGTAAGCAGGTCGGGGCATACACCGGTACTGTGAGGGGCAACGTTTGGCTAAACGACCCCTGAAAAGGCTTGGAAGGAAGCTCAAGTCAAAGGAACTTGGGCAGTGTCTTTTTGGAGTCCCGGCACCCCTCGCTGAAGGAAAAACGGCTGAGGTGGGGGGGAATCCAGGCACAGAGAAGAACATCAAACAGACCGGTGAAAAGCCTCACATCACTGAAGCAGCGACAAGATGGTAAAATCTCTATTTCTATATCAAAATAAATGTAAAGTGGTAGCAGCAGTAATAAAACCTAAAAGGAAATAAGACAAGGGGGAAAAGGGGAACCCAGGAGGGGGAATCCCTCACGGAGCGAGTAAACCCAAACAAGATAAAGAGTAAAAATAGCGGAGGAGAAGTAATGCTACCACAAAAGTAAAGGGAAGACAGAAGAACAGAAAAAAATATGGAAAGAATGTAAAGAAATCACTCAGATTGCAATTAAACTATTTGAAAAGCACACTATCTGAAACGGACTTACTACAAAGTGCAAAGCGGTGCAGGCTGCCTGTTGTTGGAGCTGGGTGGAGTAAAGCAGCTGCTTTGAAACTGAATGTCCTTGAAGGAAAGATAAGGACAAAGGAATAAGGAACGCTGTGGGGGAAAGGAGGGGAATTTCACAGATAAGATAAGATGGCGTCGCGGGTCTGAAGACGCTGAGTAATCATCAAGAAGGATGAAGAAGGAGGAAGTGACGAAGACAAAATAGTGAAAGAGAGGATTAAAGGAAGGCAGAAGCTGGCAAGCCGAGTTAATATGAACACAGTGACACCCAGTGGACAAAGTAGGAAAAGCAGTAACAAAGGAAAATTGGAACAATAGAAGGACATCTGGTGGTTGAAAAAGACAACGCAAAATGTCTCATGCAATTAAAAAACAGACTGGAACTGGAAGTCAACAGCAACAATTAAGAAGAAACTCAGGCCTTGAAGAAATGGACTTGAGGGAGCTTATTATTAGTTTGAAACTGGACTTGGGAGGATTGAGAAAAGAGTTGGAAGAAAGAATCAACACAATTGATGGGAAATTGGAAAAATTAGAAAACACAATGAAAAAAATGAAAAAGAAAATGAAGAAATAAAGGAAAAATTAACAGAAGTTCTAGAAGGAATGAAGGAGACAGATAAGAAAGTGCAAGAAATTAAGAATAAGAATCAACAAATGGATGAGATGGTGAAGAAAATTAGCAAAGAACAAAGGGAACAAAGAAAAGAAATGGACAAATTGAAAAAGGAGATGGAGGAACAAAAAGCAATCCAGGAAGCTACTGGGGATGCGCTAGCAATGATACAGATGCAGATTAAAGAGAAGACCTTGAGATTCAGAAATGTTCCAGAAGAGGAGAAGGAGGATATTTGGAAGAAGATGATTGAAACTTTAGCAAAGTGGCTACATTTACAGGAAAAAGACATAATAGAACAGACAGAGAAAATCTTCAGAGTGAACTCAAGAAAAGCAAAAATGAACAAATGGCCGGCAGACTGCATCATTGTATTCACATCGAATTGGATGAAAGATAAGATCCTCCAAGTAAAGAGTAAGAACAAATTAACCATAGATGGAAAGGAAATAATAATTTTACGAGAAGTCCCACCTAGGCTGATAAAAAAGAGACAGCAATTCCAATTTCTAACAAAAGCACTAAAGGCCAAATCAATATCTTTCAGATGGGAATACCCAGTGGGGATTTCCTTCAACTTCAAAGGAAAAAGAAGACGATTTGAGACATTTGAGGAAGCAGATATGTTTTGGAGGAAGTATCGAGGAGAATTAGGAGGCGGGAAAAGTGAAGTAAGAAATGAGGAAGGAAGAAAGGGAGAGCTATCGGATGAGGCGGAAGAAGAAGAAAAAGCTCAGCAAAGGGTGGAAGGATAAAGAACTACGCCAGTGGTAAATAATCAGACCAATAACTATTACAAAACCCTTCTCCTTTACCACTGCAGATAACTTAAACTCTTTCCATTAACTTTATAATTTTTTAACTAATAAAGAATGAAATTTAAATTGTTATCATGGAACGTAAATGGTTTAAATAATAGGAGGAAGAGGCAGAAAATAGAACGTATCTTAGAGAGGCAGAAGTGGGACCTTGCTTGTTTACAAGAAACCCACATCAATACTAAGCATAAAAGACTATTGGTAAAACCAAAGTTAGGGAAGAATTCATCGCATCTGATGTAAGAAAAAGAGGGGGTTGTAATGTATGTTAAAAGCAAATATGAACCAGAATTGTTATATGAAGACAAAGAGGGGAGGATTGTAATAGTCAAAATATCACTAGAGGGGGAACCAATTGTAGTAGCGGGAATCTATGGATCAAATAAAAGAAAATCAGAATTCTATGTTAAAGTAAGATCATTATTAATGGAATATATAGATATGAGAATTATTGTGTTAGGGGATTTAAATGGAGTAATGGAACCAGAATTGGATAGATCGCAGAAGAAGAGGGGGAAATGAAGGGAAGTTGCCAAAAAGCTTTATGGAAATGGTAAAGATTTTTGATTTAGTGGATATATGGAGATATAAACATCCTGTCGAAAAGGAGTTCACATATTTCTCAGAACCAAAAAATTCGTATAGTCGAATCGACAGTATATGGATTACTAAGGATATGACAATTGAAGCAGAGAATGCCAAAATATTGCCAAAAACACTTACAGATCACAATCCAGTATCATTAACTCTTAAAGGAAAAGAGGAGAAAGGGAAAAAAGGTGGAGAATGAATGTTTTCTTATTAAAAAAACGAAAAAGTAATACAAGGAGCCAGAAAGTTGATGAAGGAATATTTTGAAAACAATTGGAGGAAAGGGACAGATGTTAAAACAGTGTGGGATGCTGGGAAGGCGGTTGTTAGGGGATATTTCATACAACAAAACTCAATAGCATATAAGAATAAAGAAAAAAAGAAAAGGGAGCTTTTAGAAGAAATTAAAAGGAAGGAAAAATTGGCCTATGCAAGCAAAAATAAAGAGAGATTAAATCAAGAAATTAAATTACTGAGAGTAGAATATAATAAAATTATAGAACAGGAGGTAGAACAACAAATCAAATTTTGGAAATATAAAAATTTTGAATGGGCAAATAAGCCAGGCAAGATCCTTGCCTGGCAACTAAAGAAACAAAGAAATGAAAAATTAATAAATAAAATAAAAGTAGAAGAGAGGACAATAAGGGATATGACAGAAATTAAAAAGAATTTGAAAAATATTACAAAAATTATATCCATAAGATGAAGTGCCAATAGAAGAAATAGAGGAATATATAAAGAAAAATAAATTAATAGAGATAGCAGAAGAAGACCATAAATTATTAAATGAACCAATATCAACCGTAGAAATTAAGGAATCAATTCAAAAATTAAAAATAGGAAATCCCCAGGTCCAGATGGCATACCAGCAGAATACTACAAAGAAATGTTAAATGAATTAATCGACCCACTAAAAGAAGTAATAGAGGAAGCAGTAGAGAAGGGGAATATTCCAGACTCTTGGACTCAAGGGTATATAACGCTCCTGCCAAAACAAGGTACGGATTTGGAATCTGTCTCAAATTATAGACCCATTTCATTGTTAAATTCCGATTATAAAATTTATGCAGGATTATTGGCTAACAGGTTGAAAAAAATTATAGGAAAAATAGTACATAAAAATCAGGCTGGATTTGTGGAAGGTAGACAAATAAAGGATAATATCAGAAATATAATAGACATAATGGAATATCTACAAGTAAGAAGAAACAAACAAGCAGCCCTGATTTCAATCGATGCTGAGAAGGCTTTCGACAAAATCTCATGGGAATTTATAAAAAAACTATTAAAAGAATTGTGTCTAGGTGAAAAATTCCAAAAAGGTATAAATGCAATATATAACCAACAGAAAGCAAAAATTATTATTAATGGAGAGTTTGGAGAAGAAATCAACATCTTTAAAGGTACAAGACAAGGATGCCCCCTATCCCCAATGTTATTTATAATAGTATTAGAGGTTCTATTAAAGAAAATAAGGCAGGACAACCAAATAAGAGGAATAGCAGTTGGTGAAAAAAGATACAAGTTAAGAGCCTCTGCAGATGATGTTATGATCACAACAGAAAATCCCCTACAATGTACACCTAGAATATTGGAATGCATAAACGAATATGGCAGATTAGCAGGATTCAAATTAAACTATGGGAAAACCAAAATACTAGTGAAAAATATGGAAGAAAAAGATAAAGTGAAATTACAAGAAATTACAGGATTGGAAATTAAAAAGAAAATAAGGTATCTTGGAATAAATTTAACAACAAACACTATAGATTTAAGTAATGAGAACTATGGGAAAACATGGAATGAAATAAAAATGACTTGCAAGTATGGGGGAATTAAATCTTTCCTTACTAGGGAAAATATCGGTAATAAAGATGAACATATTACCAAGGATGATGTTTTTATTTCAAAGTATCCCAATACTAGGAGGAGATAAATGTTTTAATAACTGGAAAAGAGATTTGGCTAAATTCGTATGGTCAGGGAAAAAGCCAAGAATAAAACACAAAATAATGATAGATAAGAAGGAGAGAGGAGGATTTGGTCTCCCAGATATGGAGTTATATCACGATGCGGTGGGTCTGACCTGGCTAAAGGAATGGATCAAATTAGATGACTCGGATGTATTGGATTTAGAGGGAGTAGAGACGAGATTTGGATGGCATGCCTATCTAATAGATGAAAAAGTGAGAGTACATAGAGGCTTCCTAGGGCATATAATCAGAAAATCTATATATAAAATATGGGAGAAATATAAAAGACTCCTAGAACCGAAAAATCCCTGGTGGGCATCGCCAGCAGAAATTGTCGCAGTGAAAAAATTAAATATGAAAGAAAATTGGGCTGCCTATAAAACTGTATTAAAGGAAGAAAACGGAGAATTGGAATTAAAGGATTACACAGAAATTAAAGCTCATATTAGTGATTGGTTCCAATATATTCAAATTAAGTATAGATTAGCGAAAGACAAAAAGTTAGGATTTGAAAAAGAAATATCAAATTTTGATAAATACTTAATACAAGAAAAATCAAAAAATATATCTAAATTGTATAATCTGATTTTAGAGTGGGAAACAAAGGATGAATTGGTTAAAGCATCAATGATTAAATGGGCGCAAGATATTGGGGAAAATATTATGTTTGAACAATGGGAAAAATTGTGGAAAGAAGATATGAAATTCACTATGTGTTATATACTGAAAGAAAATTACCTTAAAATGCAACATAGATGGTATTTAACACCTGAAAGAATAGCAAAAATGAATAAAAATTGTAGCGATGTCTGCTGGCGATGCAACACGGGAAAAGGTACTATGATACATATATGGTGGAATTGTTTAAACATCAAACGATTTTGGGAAATAATAGATAATGAAATGAAAAAAATGTTTAGATACTCATTTAGGAAAACACCAGAAGGTTTTCTATTGGGAATAGTACCAGGAAGCCTAAAGGAAGAAGATAAGACCTTATATTTATACGCAACAGTAGCAGCAAGGCTATTGATTGTGAAAAACTGGAAAAGTGGTATAATACCGACAAAAACAGAGTGGCTTGCCAAATTATTGGAGTATTACAATATATCCAAAACAATGGAAGAAATTGGAAGGATTTCAAAAGAAAAGATAGATAGGGACTGGAAGGTGTTTAAAAGATACTTGCAAAATCATATCGAAAAATCAGAACTCCTATTAGAATAAACAAGTTCCGTTTCAAATACTGAAATATCAAATAAGATGGATAACAATGTGTAATAGAAAAAGAAGTATGAAATTAGGCTAAAGGTGTGTGAAAGAAAGTAATAGAAGTGGAAAGAAATTGTAATTGAGTAGATTGGAAGTCAAACACAAAGGTGGGGTGAGGGGTGGTGGATGGTGATGGGGAAAGGAATTATTTGTGGGATTGAGTGTAAGTATGTTTGAACACTTTTAAGGGAAAAAAAACTTTACATTGAAAGGTAAATCTATCAAATTCACAGTTTCTGAAACAAACAGAAAGCCAAAACACAGTCATCCTAACACCAATTTTGCAATGCAGTTCCCCAAATGATGTTTACAAAAATGCATATATTGGACGAAAGTGAACATATTAGTGAACAAAAAGGCATTATATTAGGGGAAACTGCTTGCAAGAAAGTGTGCATTAGTCAAAGCTGCACACAAAAATGTATTTATTGGGATAATTTTGCACTAATATGCTGAAGAATTTTCAGAAATAAAAATTCAGAAATTGCTGAAGAAATGTGGAGGGCTGAACTTGATACTGGGGGGGAGGGGGACAAGAAACTGAAATTGATAGATCTTCCATCCCTTCGTGTAAGGTAAGTTAGGTTGAGAGACAGTCAGCCTGTGAAGTTCATATTTGAGTAGGAACCTGTGTCTCTCAGGTCCTAGTTTGAGATTCTAACCACTATGCTGCACTGTAAAATGTTCTAGAATGAACAGTTGCTACACACACACACCCTCTGTCTACAGCCCCACCTAGATCCTGATAGCTGGCCATAAACCCCTAGTAGTATGGTGCTTGTCCTAAGAAACAGGGGCATAGTGAATGCATTTCTGACCTTCTTTGTAGAAGGTATGGATGCAAAATGTATAAAAATAATTTGTAGTAAATTTTTGGACAGCCTGAAAAACATTTAGCAATATTGTTCTCCATATTCTGGAGGTTTTCACAGGCGGATGTTTATGTGTGTCAGATCTTTGTAGAAGTTATTCAGTTGATTGACACGGAAACCCATTTATGTCTCTTGGCATCTAATATTTGTCTCACTGTCAAAGCCATCATCATAGTTCACGTTTGAGTCTACACCATTACAATTATCTTGAAATGTCAGAGTCTAC